CAAAGGTTTGCTCTCTTATAAGTACTTTTTGGGCTCAGTGCACCCTTTATCCGCAGGGACGCCTTCCATGTTAAGGCTGTGTCCTGAAGACTCATTGCGGCGGGTGGCCGGACCCAAACGCCAATTGTTTGGAAAACGCTGATTGTTTTAACAGTGAAGCAGGCCGGATCTCCAAAAACGCCTAGGGGGGGGTCCTTCATTCCCTTCCATTCAGTTGATTTCCAGCCCTGCATAGGTGCCATAGGTAAAGAGGCGCTATGCGCGCGTATGAAACCAGGACTGAGACGGCAGACATGGCCCACCCAGATATAACAGCGGATCCCACACAGATGTAAACGCAACGAGTCTGTCTAGAAGAGCCTTCAACTGATGAGTTTGGTGACTTGCTGAGTGGCAACCTTAACGCCCTCATCACTTACATTCGAGCCACGAAAGCGATATTGCTAATGCGGACCGTTCCATCGTGCCTAAAAAGGGGATTCCGGCTAACACGTGATGGACGCTTTAAATGTCACTCTGAAGGCACGGTCCGCGATTACGTATAGAATTTGAAAATATGGCGTCTGGTGCCGCATCTCAAAATGGGGTTGTTCAACGGTTTAGGCTTTATCCTTTACCTCTCCTTGAGGCTTCTTGAATATAAGGTGGTCTGTTCGAAGGAACGGCGTTTTTGCATTGAGGCCAGTAAGTTAAATGAAGATTGTTTTGACAAAAATTCAGAGAGAGTTCATAGTTGTGGCTCTTCTCTGACGAATTACTAATGCGCCCCTAACCCCTCACATCTCACACTTTCTTACTGAATTTCTTGTTTTCAGATGGAAATCCCGTCATCAGGTATTGTAAATCGCTACATCGCCTGTCAGGGGCCATTGGCACACACCTCGGCCGACCACTGGCTGATGGTATGGGAGCAGCTGTGTACACATATCGTCATGCTTACCACCACTATCGAACGAGGTCGAGCGAAATGCCACCAGTACTGGCCGAGGTAGGAGTGTAAATAATTTTAATTCTATGAAGCATATTCCTATTTCAACGGATCTTGTACAAAATAATGCAAATTTCCTGCAGAGGGTATATTTTCATGCTAAAAACAGCTTATTTGAGGTTACACGAAAGTCACGAGTACGGTCGTCTATTGGTGACCTGCATCCGTGATCGTGAGACACCGAACTGCTCCTATCGCGAGTTCTCCGTCCGGGATCGCACGGTCAGTTCCATTTTTATCTCAGCTTGCCTTAGTTTGAGAAGGCGATATCGCAGAATCGCTGAGTTTAACCCCACAAACAACCAGATAGGCAAAATACGCATTCACATACCACCAAAATTTCTGGCAGAAGTCGGATGTGTGGCGCTTCCCGTAAAAGGGTTCCAAGGTGCTTGGTGCCCTGTGCCGTTATTTCGGTCGCTACCAGTTGCCTTTTGTGTCTCTTTCTCTGTTTCTCGATCCTCCATGTGCCCCATCACTTCATTCCGCTTTCTGGCCATTTTTGCTTAGACGTTATCCCTTTTATTGATTTCACTGCTTTTCTTGAAGATATCTTCCGCGATAACTGCATGGGTAGTAAATGGACGGAGGCTTATACCCCCGCGGGTCTTCTTCTAGCGCTTTACGGCATTAGATGGAGTGCAGCTAAATGAGGGGACCGCCACTTTCCATGAAGCTCCGCCCGCCTTCGCTCGACCACCGCCGACACTAACGCGATACGTCTTTGAACTTTAAAAACTAAAGCCAGCGTTATCACTCACTCCCGTTTAAAAACTAGAGCCGGTTTTATGCACTACCGTTACCATCAGTAATCGTTCGCATTTCCCTCTGTAGGCACTAAGTTTACATTCACGCTTTTGAGATGGCGACAACATAAAAAATCTGCAAATCTGCAAACTACATCGCCGTCGACATACACTTATCATTTTTTCATCGCGACAGATAGAACACTGGATTTGGGGCGTAGGTGAATCGTGTTTTTGTTACAGTCGAAAGAAGAACGACGTGTGACTCAAATGCAGTACACTGCATGGCCGGATCATGGTGTTCCCGATGATCCCCAACATTTCATCTCATTCGTTGATGAGGTAAGCGTTTTGTTGAATTTAAGTGTGATGAGGTCTCTTTCCGCCACCTCGAATGGTGTTGACAAGAGAATCGAATATGCCGCCGCTGATGGGTCTAGACGGGCGACGCCGCGCGCGGGCCAAGACAAGTTGTCCTGCCTGGCCAGTTTTGATAGGAGTGTGACAGGGAAATGTCTAAATGTGTCTACATCGGTCATCAATGGTGCTTTCGCCTTTTTTCCTGACATGCTTTGAGCTTCAGTCGGCAAACTAATGCACATCGAAAATCTGCCGCACATGATGCGCAGCGCGGCAACGCGTCGAAATACTACTGTATTGTCCATCTCACCCTCCTTTCAGCGAGAGCGACGAAACAAGGCGTTCCAGTCGTTCCGTTCGTCATTCGTAAAACCAGGTTTCAATTGTTTTAGCACTGCAGTGCCACAATGCGTTAAGTCAACTAGCCAGTAAGTACAATGCTGGTCGCTAGTAGCAGCGAGTTTGGATTCTTCATCGCAACATGGATGTAACGTTCTCGTTTTATTACGAAAGATAACAAAAGGAGGATTATGAATTGTTTTGTCATATCGTGAAATAGGCGGAGCAAGACAATCATTTACCCGCGCCATCGCGTGCTGCGCGTCGTGCGGTAGTGAGCGCGGAATGGCTCCAGTGAAGGTGTTTCATCACATGAAGAAAAGAGCTGGTCCGTACAAGGATTTTAAAATGATCTCTCCCGTTTAGCTACCAATGAAATGAAGTTAGAACACCGTCCAGGCCGCTACAAACTATCAAATTGCCACATGCGGCCAGCCACGCCCACCCACGAAGCGAATTTCGATTGTCTTGTCACATATCTTGAAATAAAGCAACTCCTGCAGAATTATCAGTGTCATTGTTAGGTTCGTCGTGCTCGTGCAGGCAGTGTCGATCCGATTGTCGTGCACTGTTCGGCAGGAATCGGTCGTACTGGAGTGTTGATTCTGATGGAAACGGCTGCATGTCTTGTAGAAGCAAACGAGCCAGTCTATCCACTCGACATCGTACGGGTAATGAGGGATCAGCGGGCGATGGCCATTCAAACAGCGGTCAGTTTTACTCGTTTCTGTAATGAGAACTGTTAGTCAGTTAGCTAGGAAAGAAAATGTCCTTGGTGACGTGATTACCTTGAGAGCAATGCAAATTAATGCTGTTACCTATTTGCACCGTGCAGCACATCCGCACAAAAAGTTAAAGCCAATTCTCGGGAGAAACGTTTTGAAAGGTGGCCTGCAACAGTTTCCTAGAAGAAGGTCTGCAAGTGTAATTCTACAGAACTAATCACAAGGATCCAACAGTAGTAAGACGAGAGCCAATCTCACTTTGCCGGGGAAATTAGAAAAGAAGAAACAGGCACGAGTTGAGAAACTACTGCAAAACAAAGGTGGTTCATTTCCTTCCTGGCCATAGACAAAACCCTGTTATTTCGTCAATCCTGGGACTCTTCAGTGAGGTTAGGTAGACCAAATAGTGACATAGGGATGGATTTGACGAAAAGTAATAAGGAAACTTATAACGTGGACGTTCATGGATGGAAATCGTACAGTTCACTGGAAGCCACCCTGACCAACGAGT